TAAGCTAACCTAACCTAAGCTAACCTAAGTAAGCTAAGCTAAGCTAAGATAACCTAACCTAACGTAGCCTAGCCAAACCTAACCTCACCATAAATTACTAAAGAAAAGTCAGATACAACATTAATGAGGCGACCGACAGACAGACAGACAGACAGACAGACGTGTAGACTCTCTGTGTTCAGGTGATCCTCGTGACCCAGCCAAGGGTGATGGTACACCTCCACCTGTGTGTCAACAACGGCCAGGTAATGACAGGAGGGAACATAAAGGGAACAGGTAAGGTAAGGTTAAGGTAAGGTTGGCGTCCCTGTTGGAGACGACACAGGCCTTGGGATGAACACAAGGCTCTGGTGACCTAACATGACCCTCCGGACAAAACACTTTTGTGTGGTCGACCTTGACAACACTAAAGTGAACGGCGACAACTGTACCTATTCTTATACAGTTTATTACGACAACGATATTTACACACACAACCCCTAACACTCCAAGCTCTATCTCACATACACCTATTTCATCCCAAACACCTTTATTCATTACTAATTAATTACTACATCAGTGGAACATTTCAATTCATAAAGCACTGTTCATTGTTCTACACGCGTCCGAGAAATGTAGGTTAGACACTGGCGTTCATCTCGACTCTCGGCTGAACACACGGGAAGGTCCACAGAGTCATGTTGAGATGGCAATCAGGGGATGTGTTGTGGCAGAGACCATCACTTACTCTCTCAGGGGCGGGGGCGGCAGGGTGGCAGGGGTGAGGGAAACAGGGTGGCAGAGGTGAGGAAGGGGGGGGGGCAGGATTGTGGGATGATGGAGGCTGGGTGGTAGGGGTGAGGGACACAGGGGTGAATGATGCACCTTCAAGATTTGGCACAAGAACACGTAATATTTGTATTTTCTGAGGTGTAGGTATAGTTGAGTGTGTAGGTGTAGGCGTGTAAGTGTAGGTATGTGTGTGTAGGTGTAGGTGTGTAGGTGTAAGCGTGTAAGTGTAGGTGGGTAGGTGTGTGTGTGTGTGTAGGTGTGTGTGATAAGTGTAAGAGCCAACAGGTGTATTCCTAGTAAGGTTCTGCTGGAATAACTATACTGGACCCCAACTCACCAATCAGCGTGAGTTTACTGTGTCAACAAACACCCATAATGATCAACATTCCAGTGTTGTCATTATTGTTGTCATGGTGTTAGTAGTAGTAGTAGTAGTAGTAGTAGAAACATTTATACTCGAGCATAAAATATATAGAAAACAAAAGACACAAATAATAAAAGATTAATAACAAAATGTTTAAATATGCATAAAAGGGTTCAGTTCCCCCACGAGTGTACAGGTGAGCCGACACAGGTAACCTCAACACAAGACAAGACAAGGTCCATTGAGTCAACCATTGCCAGGTATAATGGTAGTGATAACCCGGGTGACGGGGGGGGGGAGGGTCAGGTCAGGGGGTTAACAGCTGATAACGTCTGGCATAGCTGCCCCACCCAACACTCTCTCTCTCTCTCTCACACAGCTAGAGAGAGAGAGAGAGAGAGAGAGAGAGAGAGAGAGAGAGAGAGAGAGCATTGGAAGTGATCTTACGATGACATTATACTCCAACACTACAATACACACCAACGAACTCCAACGCTACTCTAACATAATTATTCCTGTGTGAGCCTCCTCCTCCCTTCTCTCCCCCCTTCTACACCTCTTCCATCCAATCACCCTTCCCCTCTCCCTATTCCTCTCCTCCTCCTCTTCCTCTCACCTCTCCCCTCACTGTAAAGTAGCTGCGTTGGCAGTCTACTGTCGTCCATGTGGGTAACATGGCCAGTCCAACGTAGTTGTTCACGGATAATGGTAGCCTCGATGCTCCTACAGTTGGTGTCAGCGAGAATACTGGCATTTGTTCTCTTGTCTTCCCAGGAACACTACAGTAATAACCCGAAATAACACTTGTGGGACGGTGTCCCTAGTTACTGACGCTAGTTTGTCGGTTTGGTGATCTCCTCAACACATAATCTAAATATCCCCGTAGTTTCACCTAACCGCACCTAACCTAACCTAACCTAATCGCAAGAATACTTAATGAATCATCTTCTCTCACTTCTTAATGCTCCCTCACTGTCTCCCCCATACGTAAACAAACAAACAAATATACAACGCATCTACAAAAATACCCCAAATTAAATACATAATATTTTACATAGAGGGAGATAATAAAATAATAGAATTAATTCTCGGATATACGAAAACAAAAACAAAAATCAATATAGAGTTTTATGATGTCTGTCAGGTTTATTATGGCTGAGTTATTAGGAGGAAGTAATATAGAAGAGGAAGGAAGAAAGAGCTTATTATGTATCAGGTTATAGTGGCGTGGGTTTAAGACTCCATAAACACCAGCTAAAAGTTTATTGGTGTCACTAATTGGTGCCTCTACAACACTATTAAAGATTTTTCTCATTTAAACCAATTTCAACGCAACTGAATAAAACCAAATATTACAAAATAAAACCAATTCATATGGCATAATAAAACCAATACTAATAAACCATAAAACCAACGAGTTAAAACCGACACAAACCATAAAATATCCAGTTCATGACCCTGACTTTGTAAAGATGGAGGTTAACGACATGGTTGGCGTAACGATGCTTAACGAGGGTGTCATCGTCTTCACCTGTAGGACAGATGGCCACCACTTTCTAAATCAGCTGGCAACTCAAGGCCGTATATAATATACTATAGGAATAGCCGTGTGTCTGTGTGTCTGTTCTGGGCAGCCGAAACGGCACAATCGTTTTTCATCAAACTTGTTGGAAAAATCGCAAAAAATTCGTAGAGTGGAACAAACCTGGTCCCATGTCGATGGTTTCTTTAGGAAGGCATTAATTAACCATTTTATTTACGCTCGCTGTACGCTGTCAGCCGGACTGCGAACCGGGCAAGAAGGGCCCACGATCACTTGTGTTCACTATGGTAAGTAGTATAATATAATACTAAACAACAAAGTCCAACCATTAAATTAAGCACCGGGGAACTAAGTAACCAATCATCGATCACTTTTACATTTATTCATAATTTTTACTACGTACTATAGTAAACAAACGGCCTTGAGGTGCCAGCTGTCTCCAGCAGTGTTCGAAGAATCTTGAACGAGACTGTACATGACCTGTGTGTGTGTGTATGTATGTGTATATATGTGTATATATCCTATTATTATACACACAATTATACAGAATTATATGCAAGTATCAATTATTTTCATTTTATTTTGTCATTACTAGTTTCTTGTGCGATCTGTCTGTCTGTCTGTCTGTCTATGTATGTATGTATGTATGCATGTATGTATGTATGTATGTATGTATGCATGTATGTATGTATGTATGTATGTATGTATGTATGTATGTGTGTATGTATGTATGTATCTACTTATCTATCTATCTATCTATATATCTGTCCACTTATCTATTCAATTATATGTCTGTCTGTCTGTTTGTCTGTCTATTTATCTCAATAAGAAGCTGTAGGAGGGAGGGAGGGAGGGACTTTCTAACGGGCAGCCGCTAACACAACTCGTCGACAACAACACAGTGAGGTGACGTCCTGTAGCACTTAGTTGTTCATGGTCGTCTGTGTCTGTCTTATTATCTTTATATTCTCCCTTTATTACCCTCCCTCTTATTATCTTATAATCTCCCTTTATTACCCTCCCTCTCTTATTATCTTTATATTCTCCGTTTATTACCCTCCCTCTTATCATCTTATATTCTCCCTTTATTACCCTCCCTCTCTCACATTCATCACGCTCATAAGTACGGTGGCTGTTGGAGAGAAAGAGAGAGAGAGAGAGAGAGAGAGAGAGAGAGAGAGAGAGAGAGAGAGAGAGAGAGAGAGAGAGAGAGAGAGAGAGAGAGAGAGAGAGGCTAGCTGATATATTAAGGGAGGAGGGATATTATCAACGAGACATATGGTTGATAGGGTAACATAGGGGGAGGGGGGAGGGGGGAGGGGGAGCTTTGTATACCTGTGATTATCTCTCCTGGTGAACTAACTCTCTCTATTTGTGTATTGTCTCTCTTTCTCTCTCTTTTCTCTCTGTTTTTTAATCTATCTCTCTTAGTCTGTCTGTATCTGCATGTCTCTGTTTCTTAGTCTCTCTTTCTCTCTCCTCTCTTTTATTGTGTGTGTGTGTGTGTGTGCGTGTGTGTGTGTGTGTGTGTGTGTGTGTGTGTGTGTGTGTGTGTGTGTATTTTAACTGGTAAAGGATACCCCTTTGTTTCATTAACTTTCCGTATCTTGGCACATCTTCTATGTGTATGTATATACGTATATGTATGTATATATGTGTGTGTGTGTGTGTGTGTGTTTACATATATGTATATGTACTGTCAATGAATATGATGCAACTCTTTGTGTACGAACCTCTGTCCTGCGTGACAGTGAGAAGTGATACCACCCTCAGTGTCAAGACCTGACTAAATTGCTCGGAATAGGCAAACTGTACTACAAGCTCTGCCAATAAATTTGTTAAACTAAAAAAATCTCTCTCTCTCTCTCTCTCTCTCAGTTGGTGACATACTTTTATTTATAGGCGTCAGAGGTTAGGTTGGGTTCTCATTACTCACACTAATAACCTTCGACATAATCTCTTAATGGTAAAAACCTAACCTAACCTAACCTAACCTAACCTAACCTAACCTAACCTAACCTAACCTGTGAATTTCTGGGCTAGAGTGATGTAAGCCGATGTAACACCCAAGAGCAGGTTAACAATAATAGTGTTGACACATTCTATGGCTTTTTGAAATTTGTGTCTTTGTGATGGAGCCGTGGAGGACGCCTTACTGGTGGTCAGGAGCCTTAACCCCTCACTACGGAGACGCCACTTATAATATTTTATTTGGATAATGCCAGACGACTTTATTCAGCACAGGGAGGACCCTGTACACAAGGGATGAAGAAAAGCTGGGCGCTATCATGACCCATCACTCTTAAAAATGTGTTTCTCTAGGCATGAGGCCCCATCAAGGAGAGTGTGGACACAGCGCACTGTAGACCAAGCCTTCTGTAAACAAGGAGGCAGCGAGGCCGGCACTGTCATCCACCACCTTCACTTACCCACCTGTGTAAGTTAGGTACCCATTTACAGCTGGGTGGACAGGGAGTGCCCCGGAATCATAATCGCGGCCCTTAACGGCCTTCACCCTTAAGAAGGATGTAATCACGTGGCCGTCAGGACTCAGGGGTCTACCTGGACTGCGGCCCTTCCTGGAGTCATATCACCTTCCAGGAGTCACATCACCTTCCAGGAGTCACATCACCTTCCAGGACTACCTAACCCACATTACCTTACAGCTCAATGGATCGTCATAGTCCACTGACTGTACACATTCTGGACCCTGGACCACTGGCCTTACCTTACTACCTGCAGGTCTGACTCAATACAGTACATTACCTGCAAGAGGAGAAATACTTTTAGAGAATATTATACATATTACGTAAACACGATATGTTACACGTAAATTACATATTACATACAGTGCATAGGAACGTTACATAAAGAGCAAATATTACACATTACATATTATGACTTAACGCTGGAGAAAAATTTACTTATACAATACATACTGAACATGTAGACGACGGTTTATTACTTAATGCAACAGATATACAAAGTGCATGATATGACGTGTGTTGACACAATACAACACACAATATATATTAATAAAACAATGATGCGTAACTTGTAGAGCGTAATGAGTATTTCAGGAACAAACATTTACATACAAGAAGAATGAATGTCAGGCGTCAACCTCTCACACAAACACACACATACAGCAGTGAAATGTGTCAGCACACACACACACACACACACACACACACACACACACACACACAGTAGTAGAGTGTTACTTGGCGAACACACACACACACACAACAGTAGTGTCAGGTGTCACTTGACACACTCACCAAGCAGCTAAAAGTTTTGGTAAACAACGAATTAATTGTGTTAAGTTTGAGCCAACAAGTTGCCGTTGGCTGACTCACGTTGTCTAATATTACCATATATGAAGCAGAACTGTATACCGTATGACGAATTTTTGTTTATAATGAATAGCTTACTCTATACCGTAATTGTATACCGCATAACAATTTTGTTTATAATAACCAGCTTCCTTTATGGTTAAATAATGCAAATTAGAGCAGAGCTTCTTCTCGTGTCCCCGCGCGAGGGAAGGTAGACCTGTGAGCCCTGGAGGGACGCCTGCCCCGGGCTGTTTGTCATCAGTGAAGAGTAAAGGTAATGTTATCCTTCTACCAGACTACCTCCCTCTCTCTTACTGAAGGACGAGCATGAGGGGCACCTTGAGGCTGTACAATACAAAGTCGCACATAACAAGTGTAGCATCAATAAAACACATGACTCAGGTATTGAACACAGTGCATCAGGAGCCGCGTGTGGTGTTAATGGGAGGCGGTGGAGAGTGGCGGCTGGCGGTGGAGAGTGGCGGCTGGCGGTGGAGAGTGGCGGCTGGCTGTGGAGAGTGGCGGCTGGCTGTGGAGAGTAGCTGCTGGCGGCCAGAGTACCACAAGAGGTTCACTCACACCGGATGCTGGCAGCTGGTGCTCATGCAACATGCATGTGTTGGTGTGTGACGCTACCTGCACCTGCTGTTACTGTACTGTCCTCACTATCACCAACACTAACATCATTACTGTCACCACCACTACCACCGTCGTCACCACCGCCGTTATCACCACTACCTTGGGTCAACATTTTCTCCACCATGGCTACACAGATAAAATGACAGTTCTCTGGTGGTGGTTATTGAGGAGTCATGTGAAGAATGTCTCCAGTGAGAGAGAGAGAGAGAGGGAAGGGCAGAAGAGGGTGCAGGAGGGGAGAGGGAGACAGAGAGAGGGACAGAGGGAGTGAGTGAGGAAGGGAGCTCTGGACAGAGGGACAGAAGGAAAAGGAGACGGAGGGAAGAGAGGGAGAAAGGGACAGAGGGAGGGGAGGGAGGGAAGGATAGGGTGAGGGAGAGATGGAGACAAGGACAGAGGGAGAGAGTGAGGGAGGGAGGGATGGAGGGAGGGAGGGAGGGACAAAGGAGGGTGCAGGGTATAGCGTGGTCCTTCCCTCTACTAACGCCTCCCTCTCTACCACAAATAACGTCCCATTAACCTTAGGAACAACGCCTCTCTCTCCACCGCCGTCACCCCATCATCTTGTGGTCTAGGGGCAGGCTGGGGTCAGGGTCAGGTCAGAAGCGCGGAGGCTGCATCTGTTCCTCCCAACTACCTGCCATCATGCTATCTGCCATCGTTACCTGCCATCATGTTACCCGCCATCATGCTACCTGCCATCATGTTACCCCATCATGCTACCTCCCATCGTGTTACCCGCCATCATGCTACCTGCCATCGTGCTACCTGCCATCTTTTTTACTCATCATGTTACCTGCCATTGTGTTACCTGCCATCATGCTACCTGCCATCGTGCTACCCCATCATGTTACCTGTTATCATCGTCATGTTACCCGCCACATACCTGTCATCATGTTACCTGTTATCATCGTCATGTTACCTGCCACATACCTGTCATCATGTTTCCTACCACCATGCTACCTGCCATCATGTTACCTGTCATCATGTTACCTGCCATAATTTTACCTATCATCATGTTACCTGCCATCATGTTACCTGTCATCATGTTACCTGTCATCATGTTACCTGCCATAATTTTACCTATCATCATGTTACCTGCCATCATGTTACCTGTCATCATGTTACCTGCCATCATGTTACCTGTCATCATGTTTCCTCCCATCATTTTACCAGTCATCATCATCATGTTACCTGTCATCACGTTACCTGCCATAATTTTACCTATCATCATGCTACCTGCCATCATGTTACTTGCCATTATCATCATGTTACCTAACATCACACTTTCATTATGTTACCTACCATCATCTTACCTTCCATCATGTTACCTGCCATCACACTACCTGCCCCTCTGTTACCTACCATCATCTTACCTTCCATCATGTTACCTGCCATCACACTACCTGCCCCTCTGTTACCTACCATCATGTTACCTACTATACGCTTCTCACAACACTTCTCTTGAATTTTCGAGAGAGAGAGAGAGAGAGAGAGAGAGAGAGAGAGAGAGAGAGACTACATAACAATAAGCTGACAAAGATAAAAATAATTGATAAATAAATACATAAAAATCGATAAATCAGTCAACATAAACAAATACACAAGTGATCGCTTAGACTCCGAGAAGACGATTCGTTTTCTCTCACACATGGCACCAAATGAAGGAGGAACTACTCTGTTTTTCCTAGTTTTGATCCACCTACTGAGATAGAAAGACAAGCAGAGACAGACAGACAGACAGACAGACAGACAGACAGACAGACAGGTAGATAGAGATGGACATAAATTATTTAAATAAAATAAACTTTCCCGTCATACAATATTGCTCTTAGCTTAGTCAATTATTAGTATTTATTGAGATATAAATATATTGCCTCGTAGATGCTGTACATACATAGTGTGTGTGTGTGTGTGTGTGTGTGTGTGTGTGTGTGTGTGTGTGTGTGTGTGTGTGTGTGTGTGTTTTATGAATTCAGGCGTCAACGAGAGAAATCATCAACGCTTAGCTTTCCCTTCAAACCCGTCATGCCACATTTTGGATGCTACGCCAAGCACACGTTCGCCAGCTTTCTGCCCTTATTGGCGCTCTCTCGTGGCGGAAGAGTGAGAAGACCCGCCAGCTCTGTGTGTGTGTGTGTGTGTGTAAATATGACCCCCCTCCACACACACACACACACCATCGCCATCAAATACAATTCTTAACGTTTTTGTAATTTTTTAAGCCTCCGCTGGCCTTGGTGAGCCACGGGGGAGGGGACAACAGGTGGGGGACACATACTGTACACCACAGAGGGGGGAGGACAATAGGTGGGGGACACATACTGTACAACCACGGGGAGGGGACAACAGGTGGGGACACATACTGTACACCACGGGGACACAAGGGGTTACCATCACACACCACAATAGACACAATAGGAGAGAGAGAGAGAGAGAGAGAGAGAGAGAGAGAGAGAGAGAGAGAATGGATGACTTAGGTCTACAACTTGACCCCTCATAAATTACCCTCGCCTCAGGTAATTAACAATTTATACGGTTATTAAAGGCAATTACCCGCCTGGTGGAGTCGATTTAAACCTCTTATGGCGAACGAGATTAATGGATAAATATTGATATAGACATTTAGATAGATAGATATATCAGAAAAATCGCCCTAACCTAACCTAACCTAACCTTACCTAGACAGTGCAGGTAAACAAACAAAGGGTAAACAGTAACTTCTATATTAACTTGTGTCCCTTAACTATAAAGAATAACAACAACAACTCATCTAGCTAAGGTAAAGTCCTGGTGTAATTCCGTCGCCATCTTTGTGTGGTAACATAAAGGATTCACAAAGGTATGTTCTCAGATCACTAATTAGGAGAAAATTTAAGGTAGGCGTCCCTGAGAATTTGGCCCTGGGGGTTGAGGTGTGTGGTGGAGAGAGAGAGGAGGAGGGAGGAGGAGGATATAAATTGTATGGAAAGGGAGATAGGGACGAGGGAGGGTACAACGTGTGTGTGGAGAGGGAGAGGCATACATTGTGTGGAAAGTGAGGGAGGAAAGGAGGGAGGGAAGGATAGCGGAAAGGAGGTGATAAAATTAATTGATGGTGTGAGGAAACAGAGAGAGAATGACAGTTAATGATCGGTGAATGTGTGGCCTTTTCTTAATTACTATTACTACTATTACCTCTACTACTATTACAACTACTGTTACTTCTACTAATACCATTACTACTATTACCTCTACTATTACTACTTTACTTTTTAACATGGCCTCCAGCTCTAATAGCCATACCTTCGCCACCATTTTATTACCTTAATATTAAATATCCTAATACATAAGTGCAGCATCGAGAGCTAAGTTACGGTGATGATATGGCCATGGGATCAAAGATCCCGATGTCGAAGAAGGCTCGCTGTCCCCGCATTCAGAATCTTCGAGCACTGACGTCAACACGAGCTTCGTTGGACGTGTTTGAAGTCCTATATTGGAAAATCTCACCGTCCAAAGGAAGGAGGGTCGGTTCTACCCTGACATCACGGCAGATTTCCTTCAACATATTTGCTGAGATCCCTTACTTCGTCATGCCTCATGCAAATGAAGCCCCCTTTCTTGCACACCATGGCGTGATCGACGTCATAGGAAGAGCCACACACGTATTGGGAGGGCAAACCTTCTACTGGCCTACCGTACCTTAGAGCATTGGCATCTGTAAATTCTTGTTTATTGAGACTGAAACCATTTGCCCTTATCGGTAACGTAGTTAACCAGTTCGAGGCGCCCACCTCCTGCGCTTATAGCTACTTATTTTTTTCAAATTCTCTGGTACTTGCAGCAACAATTGCTGCAACTTACTTAGCAGTGCTGTCGATCTGTCGTAATGGACCTTCGAATCTTGTTTACTTCACTGGTATCTACCTCCCCTTGCGTTCTGAGATTATATGTGTCCGTGAGGGCTGAGCTTAACTGAGTTTTGATGTTCGGTGGCAGCTCCTCTGAATTGGTCAATCCCATTCCTCCCAGTCTCGGTGGTAGTGCAAGGAGTGACCTTTGTGCTGGGGTTAAGTGAGGGTGTTTCACTTAATTGGGAATGAAATTGACGCTGATAGCTTCTTCCAGAGGGTGGAGGAGGGGTCCGATATCAGGGATGGTGCGCATCAGGTAGTTCTAGCGATGCTTGACTACTATTACTTCTACTACAATTACTACTTTTTTTATTTATTTAAACGTGGCCTCCAGCCTCCCCCAATAGCCACACCTTCGCCGCCATTTTATTACCTTAAAATTAAATATCCTAATACATAGCTACCCTAGCTGTGTTGAGTTAGTTGAGCCACAGATCTATGCAGCATTCAGTGACTGTTGCCTCATAGTCAATATCTGCAACTGTTGTCGGCTTTGGGGCCGATGCTCTCGTTCCCCTGAGGAAGAGCAAGGCCGACCTAAGGAGAGAGAAGGACAGTCGACATCTCATCCAGGCTGTAACATAACTTCTGGGCTGCTGCTTCTGTTCGGATAGCACCTCTTTGAGTCTGGCGTAGAAGTATCTTGCACTTGGTCTCATCCCACCAGAGGTTGTGAACACGAGAGGAGTGAAGCTGCCTCGATCAACGTTCTGAATTCTCTCCCCATATGCACTTACCTTGTCGTTCTCGTTCCTCCCGTGTGCAGCATCGAGAGCTAAGTTACGGTGACATGCGGCCATGGGATCAAAAATCCTGATGTCGAAGGCTCGCTGTCCCGGCGTCCAGAATCCTCCAGCACTGACGTCAACACGGGTTTCGTTGGATGTGTTTGAAGTTCTATGTTGGAAGATCTCATCGTCCAATGGAAGGAGGGTCGGTTCTACCCTGACATCACGGCAGATTTCCTTCAACATATTTGCTGTGAGATCCCTTACTTCGTCATGCCTCATTATTACTATTATTAAAATCAATTGTTATAAATTATTCAGTTTAATGACTATTACGATTCAACGACAAAAATCA